TTTTATTATTATTTAGCTTTTATAAGTTAGCTTTAAAATTAGCTTATAATAATTATTTAGTATATTAGTTATTTATTATTTTTTTAAGAGGCTTAGTATATAGCTATAGTATTTTACTTTAAAAGTAACGTACTTTACAGGCAAGTTGCTTATACACTTAAGTTGCTTACTTTTACTAAGACTCTACTAAACTACTTTTTTTACACTAATGCATTCCTAACAACACTACTTAGACATACTAAAAGAACATTAAATATAGCTTATGCTCTAAGCTTTTAAATAAAATATAAAACTCTTAAAGAAACATGCTACAGCTATGCATAGAGTTCTTTAAAAAACAATAAATAACTATAGCACTAGATAACCTTTATAAGCTAATTCTACAGCTAACTTATAAAGGCTAGGTAATAAGAAAAAGTAGGTAATTATTAAGACTATACTTAAGCTATATGCGTAAGAATTTTTCTTTTAAATAGCATTAATAGCTAATATAGCTAATTCTTTGCGCGCTAAGTATAATCTAGGCTATATTAGCATAAACTAGCTTAGTATGTTTAGAAAGTGTTATCTAGACCTTAAAGTAACATTTACGTGTAGTATAACTATAAAAGAGCTTTTTATAAAAGTTTTAGAGTAATTTAAAGCAGGTTTAGCCTTATAAAAAATATTAAAGCTAAGTATAGCATCTAGGATAATAACACATACAACTTTAGCAAGATAGGCTTTATTATAAGCTAAATATCTATTAACTATACTTGCGCTTACAACTTTACTTTAAGCTTTAAATAATGCTTTATAAATGTACTAGGCTAGTTTATGCTAATATAGCCTAGACTACACTTAGTGTGTAAAGAATTAGCTATATTAGCTATAAATGCTATTTAAGAGGAAAATCCTTACGCATATAGCCTAAGTATAGTCTTAATAATTACCTACTTTTTCTTATTACTTAGCCTTTATAAGTTAGCTATAGAATTAGCTTATAAAGGTTATCTAGCGCTATAGTTATTTATTGTCTTTTAAAGGACTTTATACATAGCTGTAGCATGTTTCTTTAAGAGTTTTATGTCTTATTTAAAAGCTTAAAGCGTAAGCTGTATCTAACATTCTTTTAGTATATTTAAGTAGTGTTGTTAAAAATGCATTAGTGTAGAAAAAGTAGTTTAGTAGGGTCTTAGTAAAAGTAAGCAACTTAGGTGTGTAAGTAACTTGCCTGTGAAGTACGTTATTATATTTTATTTAAAAGCTTAAAGTATAGCTATATTTAATATTTTTTAGCATATCTAAGTAGTATTATTAGAAATGTATTAGTGTAAAAAAAGTAGTTTAGTGTACTCTTAGTAAAAAAGTAACTTAGGTGTGTAATAAGAAATCATTATGTTTTAATAGAGATTTGTTAACATCTATTTACTTAAGAGCACCTTCCTAATTAGAATAGATAGCCTTAGCTCTACTAGCGTGCTTATAGGCCACCTGCTCTTACATTTTAAAAGCACCTCTGTATAGCGCGAAATATTTTACTAAAATTAAGAGATGTTAGGTAACATACACTACAGGCGAGTTGCTTACACACCTAAGTTACTTACTCTTGCTAAGACTCTACTAAACTACTCTTTTTACACTAATATATTTCTAATAACACTACTTAGGCATGCTAAAAAAAATATTAAATATAGCTTACACTTTAGGCTTTTAAATAAAATAAGATACTTTTAAAGTAACATGCTATAGCTATACATAAAGTTCTTTAAAAAATAATAAATAACTAATATACTATATAGCTTTTATAAGCTAATTTTATAGCTAACTTATAAAAGCTAAATAATAATAAAAAATAAGTAATTATTAGGCATATACTTAGGCTATATACATAAGGATTTTCTTTTTAGCTAGTAACTATAGCTAATATAGCTAATTTATTACACACTAAGTATAATCTAGGCTATATTAGTATAAAATAGCCTAGTATATTTATAAAGTGTTATCTAAAGCTTAAAGTAAAGTATAAGTTTAAGTATAACTATAAAGAAGCTTTTTATAAAAATATTAGTATAATTTAAAGCTAGTTTAGCCTTATAAAGAAGATAAAAGCTAAGTATAGTATTTAGAATAATAACATATATAACTTTAGTAAAATAGACTTTATAATTAGCTAAATATTTACTAACTATACTTACACTTTAAACTTTACTTTAAGCTTTAAATAACACTTTATAAAGGTACTAAGCTAGTTTATGCTAATATAGCCTAAATTATGCTTTATGTGTAAAGAATTAGCTATATTAGCTATAGTTACTAGGTAAAAGAAAAATTCTTATACATATAGCTTAAGTATATGCTTAATAATTACCTACTTTTTATTATTATTTAGCTTTTATAAGTTAGCTATAGAATTAGATTATAAAGGTTATTTAGTATATTAGTTATTTCTTATTTCTTATAAAAAACTTTATACATAGCTATAGTATATTACTTTAAAAGTGTTTTATTTTATTTAAAAGCCTAAAGTATAAGCTATGTTAATATTCTTTAGCATGTCTAAGTACTGTTGTTAGGAATGCGTTAGTATAGAAAGAGTAGTTTAGTAGGTCTTAGTAAAAGAAACGTGTTTTATTAGTAAGCTGCGCACATTAGTAAGCTGCGCACTATACTAAACCCTGTGCGCCTTTTTAACAGATAACTAAACAGCAACTAAATTAAACCTATATAAATATATATATAAAATATTTCTAATTACTTCTACATGAAGTCCTGTTATAGCCTTGTACATGGCACCTTAAGCAGGTTGGTGGTGCTTGTTGATATGCCCGCGATGCCTAAGCCTGCGCATCCACCTTAACTAACCTATTAGCCTCTGCAGCCAGCCTCTAACTTTCCTAGCCTGTAAGAGTCTCTTCTGTAGCAATATACTGCTGTTGCTGTTACTTCTTTTACTTTTAGTAATAGTTAGCCTAACATAGCTTAGTGTTTTTCTTTATAAAAATTATTACTAAGTGTATTACTATTTAACATCTTTTAATAAGCTAAGTAATTACTTAGCTAGTAAAGCTTTATAATTAATAACTAAAGTAGTTATAGATTAGCTACGCCTACTGCTATAGCTAAGTAACTATATAAAGTGTCTTTATTATTTAGCGCCTCTTACTATTAGCTTTTTACCTTAGAGAAGATAGTGTTTAGATAATAGTAAGTAATAATAAAATGTAATTAAAATAGTGTAAAACTAAGCCTACTACTTAAAAGCTACTTTTAATTATCTACCTTATAAATACTATAGGCCTAATATGCTTATAGATGCTAAGAAAGTTTTACTTATTAATATAAAAAATTTAACTATAAGTAAGCTTTAACACCTAGTGTCTATATACTTGCTTAAAAAGCGTAAAATAGCTAACATCTAGAGGCTGTAGAAGATAGAAGCTGTAAGCTAGCATATAAAAACTAATAATTTTATTCTTTATAGTTATAGCACTAATTAAACTTAGGTGTTAAATAGCTACTATAGCTATCTACTATAAGCAGGTAATAGACTCTTGCTGTACATGTTCTTATCTAATTATTAAAGTGCTTAAGCTAGGCTAGGCTAAGGCAGTGAGTTATTTAGCTGTTATTACTTGCTATAAGCATCTAGTTGCTAGGGATATTATAATACTAGCTAGCTTAATAGAGCTTTCTATATAAGATAATAAGCAGTAAGAGTAACTAGCTACACATGTTAATATACTTAATTATAGTAACTGTTAAATAGGCTTTGTCAGCTAGCTGCTTATAGTATAAGCACTTAAGTAGCAAGAGTAAGAGTAGTGTACAGTGTGCACAGCGTACAAAGTAGGAGGGTGGGGGCAACATGTTTCTGGTTCTATTGCTCTGTCTTTTCCTCTGTACAGAGGAAAAGGGGAATATCTAGATGTTCGCGCACAGAGGTTCGCGCACGAGCATCATGTGACATAGATACGTGATCCTGCTCGTGCGCGATAGCTTGTATCCAGGCCGTGACGCTGCTGCTGCGTACAGACAGTAACCTAGTTATAATTACTAGGCTATATAGTAACTACTTAACTAATTGTCTTAAAGCTAGTAACAACTTTAAATATACTAGTAACTTTTATTATAAATTTTATTTTATTAAAATTATAAGTATGTTTATTTAGTATTTTATATGTTTAATGTATGTTTTTTACTAGCTTAAACTAGGCTCTAAACTTAACTAGATTTTAATAAAGAGTGTGCTAGAAGTGTATCTTCCAGTCTTACTTTATCTAAAGCTCTACCTAGCTGTTAACAAAGCGCAATACCTAGCACTTGCCTATAGGCAGTAGTAAAGGATCTTAGCTATGTGCTTAAAGTAGAACATTTACTATTTAACACATATGAATAATATAGAGTAGAAAGCTGCATTAGTTAAGGTCTAGAATCTAGGAAATAAGTAACTACTCTTTAATAAGCAAAAGCTTGTAGTTAACTAAGATTATCTTGTGTTTTAGAAGAATACTACTAAGGCGCGTTTAGAGGGTAGATTCTAGTATATTATAGGCTACAGCAGCTGCACAAATTAATAGACAAGGGTTAGACTTAATTAAGACAAGAGCAAGCTAAAGCTTACCTTCTTTTGCTAGAGATTAAGCTTGTAGTTGTTCAGCTATAGTTAAAGGTGTGGACGCGGTTTCGCGCGGTTTGGTGGGGTGCGCAGCTTACTGATGTGCGCAGCTTACTGATAAAACACGTCAAGCAACTTAGGTGTGTAAGCAACTCGCCTGTGGTGTACGTTAGTTGTAGGGTTTTACAGGCAAAATTTTAACTTTTTATACATTTTTAGTAGCGGCAAGCAAATTTTGAGGCGTCGCCAAGACATTGCACAGATTAATGCACACAATAGATGTAACACGTTAACTAGGGCTGACTGTGTCCGCGCCATGATTGGCGCCCCGTGCTTCAGAACAGACATGGGAGCGGCGCAGAACTGACTGCGTCAATATAGGCTGCCCAGTATGATGGAACCCAGCAATTCTCACAAATCTTTAGCTTCGGGGAGATCGTTGAACCCTGCACCTGAACCATGGCGAACTCTAGATGGCAGCGACTGAACCCATTCCGGAAGGATCATCAGGACTCTGTACTTATCGACCCCGATATCCTGCCTCTGTCAGGCTGACGCTGTAGCAGGCGGGCAGCTCATCGAAGCCGCAGCAACCGCCTAAGGCATCTGCCCATGGTCTCAAGGTCATGGCAGAGGGAGAGCAGCCAGCAGTGGAGTAAGCCATCCGTAGCATCACAAGAGTCCGTACTGACAATACCCAGCATTGTTGCTGTCCATGGCTTGAACGGGCACCACGACGAGACCTGGACGGCAGCGAACGGCACCCACTGGCTCCGCGATCTCCTACCAAAGGACATCCCAAATGCGCGCATATTCTGCTGGGGATACGATGCGAACACGCACGGCAAGCGCGTTAGCCACCAATTCCTCCACGATCATGCAGAGCAGCTAGTGTCAGATCTCTGCCTCAAGAGAAAGCGTACAAATGTGAGATGAGAGCGGGCATTCATAAGATGTGGTTCTGACAGTAGAAGAGCACGAAACGACCGATAATCTTCGTGGCGCACAGCCTGGGTGGCATCATCGTCAAAGGCGTCAGTCTTACTCCTCTCTGTTGTATACACAGCTGACTAGGCCCAGGCTCTCATTCACTCGGACGCGGCGCGGAAAGGCGCACTGGAAGAACACCGATCGATCAAGACGTCGACGTACGGAATTATGTTTATGGGCACACCTCACCAGGGCGGCAACGGAGTGCAGTTCGGAAAGCTGCTAGTCAATGCGGCATCGGTATACAAGGCCACCACCAGCCGGCTGCTAGAGCATTTGGAGCGAGACTCAGAATGGCTACAGCAGCAGCTTAGGCAGTACGGGCCGATCAGTGGGGAGTTTATGACGAAGTTTGCGTACGAGGAGTACGAGACTCCGACAGCGCTGGGTCATTCGATTATGGTATGCCTTCACGTTGACCGCAGGTATCGTAAGTACTGATGATATAGGTGGTGCCAAAAGCATCCGCGGTCGTTCCAGGCGCCGCCGACGCTGAGCAGATCATGATCCATGCGGACCACAAAAAAATGGTCAAGTTCGAGTCAAAAGAGGATAATGACTATGAGAAAGTTTCAGACTATTTGTTTATTATGGTTGAAAGTGCAGGCAGCGTCATCAGCCTACGATGGGAAGAAGAGGTTAGAGTTGATGCGGGTATGTTGCCCTAGTATGTAGTTATCGATAATAGCGATGATGGTAACTGTATATAGCTCGAAGCAATCCTGAAGAGGGCTTTTCTGTCGTCTTCAGCTTGCCTGAGGCCTCTGAGACGGATCACTTTGTTGCGAGACAAGCGGAGCTCGCTGTAATGCACAAGGCCCTTAGCAAGGGCGCCGGTCGTCAAGCAGTCACTCTGCACGGCCTAGGCGGGATCGGGAAGACGCAGCTGGCGATTGCATACACCAAAGCCCATCGAGACGACTTTTCGGCGATATTTTGGCTGAACATCAAAGACGAAGTGTCAGTAAAGCAGAGCTACTCACGGCTAGCAAAATGCATCCTGCAGGACTGCCCATCAGCCAGCCAGTTAGGTGTTTTCACAGATGATAAGAAGCAAGATGAAGTGGTAGCAGCAGTTAAACGGTGGCTGGAGCATGCTAAGAACACGCAGTGGTTAATGGTATTCGACAACTACGACAACCCCAAAGTGCCAGGCAATGTGGATCCCAGTGTTGTCGATATCCGGCAGTTTCTGCCCGAAGCACACCATGGCTCGATAATCGTCACGACAAGGTCATCGAAGGTCAGTATAGGCCGTCGCGTGAAGGTAGGCAAGTTAGAAGACGTCCGCGACAGTCTGCAGATCCTGTCTGATGCATCGCATCGCGAGGGTGTGATAGACGGTGAGTTGTTTGAACTCTTGTACTGTACTGAGCTGTAGATGCAACGCTCACCCTTCTAGATCCTAAGGCCGCCGAGCTTGCTAGAGAGCTGGATGGATTGCCACTGGCCTTAGCTACGGCGGGCGCCTACCTTGATCAGGTGGCGACAAGCTTTGCTGACTACCTTTGTCTGTACCGGGAATCATGGCGAAGGCTGCAACAAATGAGCCCTGAAGTAAGCACATACGAAGACCGACAACTGTATTCAACATGGGAGCTATCTTTGGATCACATCAAGCAGCAGAGCGAAATATCATTCAAGCTGCTTCAGCTGTGGGCATACTTTGATAACCAAGACCTCTGGTTTGAGCTTCTGAGAGAAGGGAGGACTGATGGACCGCAATGGCTATGTCAACTCACAGAGGATCAGCTGAGTTTTAACGAGGCAGTGAGGGTGCTATGCAACTACGGGTTAGCAGATGTAGACAAGTCCTCTAAAGGATATGTAGTTGAGTCTCAGGGATACGGGATGCACAGCTGTGTGCACTCATGGACGGTGCATATAGTCAACCAAGAATGGGATTCTGAGATGGCCGGGGTGGCTATGGAGTGTGTAGGCAGACATGCACCAAATAACAATGTGCAGCACTCGTGGCTGACTCAGCGCCGGCTTTTGCGACACTTGAAAAGGTGTTGGGGATTTATTGTTGACGGCAGGTTAGATAAAGATGGGAAGGACTGGATTCTGTATAACTTTGGATACGTGTGTTCGATTCAGGGACAGTTTGACGAGGCAGAGAAGATGTACTTAAAAGCGCTGCAAGGCTTTGAGAAGGTATTGGGACTGGACCATACATCAACACTCGACACAGTCAACAACTTGGGCTCCCTCTACAGATCCCTGGGACGGCCTAACGCGGCAGAGAAGATGTACTTGCGAGCGCTGCAAGGCAAAGAGAAGGTATGGGGACTAGACCATATATCAACACTCTCGACAGTCAACAACTTGGGCTTGCTCTACGCGGACCTAGGACGGCTTAACGATGCGGAGAAGATGTACTTGCGAGCCCTACAAGGCTTTAAGAAGGCATTAGGATCAGACCATACATCGACCCTCTCGACAGTCAACAACTTAGGCATGCTCTACAAATCCCTGGGACGACTTAATGAGGCGGAGAAGATGTACTTACAAGCGCTGCAAGGCTATGAGAAGGCATGGGGACTAGACCATACATCAACACTCGAGACAGTTAACAACTTGGGCTTGCTCTACGTAGACCTGGGACGGCTTAACGAGGCGGAGAAGATGTACTTACGAGCGCTGCAAGGCTTTAAGAAGGCGTGGGGACTAGACCATATATTAACACTCGGGACAGTCAACAACTTAGGCGTCCTCTACGCAGCCCTGGGACGGCTTAGCGAGGCAGAGAAGATGTACTTGCGAGCCCTGCAAGGCAAAGAGAAGGCATGTGGACCAGACCATACATCAACACTTGAGACTGTCAACAACTTAGGCGTCCTCTACGCGGACCTGGGACGGCTTAGCGAGGTGGAGAGAATGTTCTTGCGAGCCCTGCAGGGCTTTGAGAAGGCATGGGGACCAGACCATACATCAACACTCGAGACAGTCAACAACTTGGGCGCCCTCTACAAATCCTTGGGACGGCTTGACGAGGCAGAGAAGATGTACTTGCGAGCGCTGCAAGGTAAAGAGAAGGTATGGGGACTAGACCATACATCAACACTTGACACAGTCAACAATTTAGGCGCCCTCTACACGGACCTAGGACAGCTTGACGAGGCGGAGAAGATGTACTTGCGAGCGCTGCAAGGCAAAGAGAATGCATGGGGACTAGACCATACATCAACCCTCTCGACAGTCAACAACTTAGGCGCCCTCTACGCGGACCTGGGACGGCTTGGCGAGGCGGAGAAGATGTACTTGCGAGCGCTACAAGGCTTTGAGAAGGCATGGGGACTAGACCATATTTTCACACTCTTGACAGTCAACAATCTAGGCAACCT